TGATATAATCCCTCCGAGGTTCGACTGTCTACAGATGCCATGTCTGTCGCCTTCGATTTCGGAACTTGCGTATCCACTCCAGGTCTTTAATCATTTTCGGTAAAATAGATCCAGTCACTTGTCTTATGCCGCCCGGGCATATGCAGCGGATGATTGTGACCAGCAATACATCTAAACAGCTGTTTACTCCAGAAGACATAATGATTTGTTTCTTTCCAAACTTTTACAGCCTCAGTAAGGAAACAACATTTGGATACTGCCTGCAAAAATGGCATGTGTTGGTATAATTCATTATTCGAAATATATCATTATCATTGGCTGAATTTTTCGATGGATGCAACCTCTTTCCTGGGACCGTGGTGTCGGCGGGGTACTCCAAAAACACATTGATAGCTAAGTCCTCGGTTTGTCACGAAAACATTGGTCAGTTTGTGGGATAGACAAAGGAAGAAAATTTAGGGAGAAAGGGGCAAGCGAAAGCAGGTGCTCTTGAACAAAGAAAGTTTGGGTAGGTCCGACGAATGAAAGAAGGAAAATGTCGGAAAGATTATCTGTACAAATAATAGTAGTCATGTTTGATGCGCAGTTACGATAAAGGAGAGTTGCCAATGCTGCCTATGAAAAGTGAAGAGGGTGGTATACCAGCCAGCTCATCTAGAACACATTATCACTGTTATTATTATTACACCCTATCAGCATCCCTTCAGAAGCGGTCGAACTACATGTGACATAACATTATTCCTCTTACTCATGGCGACAAGGCTTACAATAGTCCTATCGATATGGGTGGAATGTTTAGTGGCATATTTAAGGATGGTCACTTGAAACTTACACTTGTTTCCTGCGATACTAGTGTGGTCTGCATCACAAAAGGCCGGGATCCACCAAAGATCTGGGACCGTTCCGCAGGACCTAGAAGTGAGTGCGAAGGTATTGGTTGGTTTACACTAGCTCGAACACCGCCAAGAGTCCGATGACAATCCCCTTCCCTCGCACCAATCGGACGCTGTGAATACCGGCGAAACTCGGGCCAGGCCTAACTAGCCACGGTTAGTCAGAGAGGGGAGAGAAAATCAGCTGCTGAGAACCTAGACAGAAACAACACGATAGTTGTATGCGGGATTCCAGAACTGCTAACCGACCGCCCGGCCGGAGATCGGTGCTTCCACGACATCCAGCAATGGTAGTGGCTCTCGACCGAAGTCTGCCTTGACAGTATACCGGCCAACAGCGTCAGTAGACTGCCAAGACCAGCACACCTCGAGTCCATGCCCACCTGCAGACTACTCGCCGTCCAAATCGGCTCATATGCCTTCCTCACGCGTGTGACAGTGTGAAAAACCGCATGGGTGGCTCAGTGCGCATGCATGAAAGTAAGACTAGGCTCGCGAGGCAAGAGGAGGGACTGTAACCGCCAAGAGCCCTAGAGTCAGTGGTTCTCACGCAGGCACCGACCAGTGAGTCAGATACATCGAGTAAAGAGGCATCCGCTGCCACAGCCCCCACCCAAGTTGAAAACGAAACACAAAAAAACGGAACAGTGCCAGTCCTATGAGGACTGGTGACGCTAGACCCGACCACGTAAGTGCTTCCCCCGCGAAAATACACAACCAGCCCTCCCCTCTCACCGGGCACACCCTAACATGTATGTATAGCAACGTTAGGGGGGTTGAGGGAAAGTGGCAGAGATGAGGACGCCGTGTGAACGTCAGCACTCTGACACCATATTTATCGCTGAAACCCGGCTCCCGCCAGACATCTCAATGAAGGGACGCACGTTAGTGGCATAGAACTCTTCCGCAGGCACAGACGGCTCCCAGCAGGAGGGGGCGTGGCCTTCCATGCGGGCTTCCGTTTAAAAGCCAGGGGCGGTTGACGACACCACCCGTAACCCAGCTCCAGAATCTCCGTGGTACAACCTCAGTACCCACTATACCAAATACCTGCTCCGAGTCATATATCGGTCCCCCACCAGCTCCTCTGCACATAAGGAAATGGTCATCAAAGCAATCTTGACGACTTCCCCTGCAGATTAAGATTCCATAATCATTGCCGGTAACTTCAGTACCCCACCCATCCTCTTCGGGGCGGAAGGGAGACACACCAGGTCCTTCGGTCAGAAACCGAAGAATGCAATTAAGACCGCCAGCTTCTCAGAGAAAGTGGGTAGTGCCACACGCTGGGGACCTGACGGAAACTCATAGTACCTTGACTACGTTCTGACAAACGACGACCTTCTCACTGGGGATGTATGCATCCAACCTCCCTCAGTGACCACGCAGTAGTAATCTTCTCCATGATCACTGGGGAGGCCCTGCAACCAGAGACACCCAAAACCTTCACCTGCCACAGCAAGGCTGACTACGAGACCATGAGGGCTATCTCATGAATGGAACAGTGGGACGGGCCCATCACACAATAGATGAACACTGGTTACAAGTGAAGAGAATAATCGCTGGGCCATCAGTCACAGTGTACCAGAGATAACACATGGACTGTCAGTCAGAACCTCATGGCTAAAGAGTTGGATGGAGAGGCCAACTCAGAGCAAGAAGCAGGTTTGGTTCAAGTGGCGTTCATTACGCAGGGAGTCCGACTTTTTGAACTACAAAAGGATCCGCAACCGCTGTAACATTAGAGTGCGTAGCGACAGATTCTCCTATCAAACAAACCTGGAGGAGAGGTTACAAAGCAATCCCCAAAACCTGTACCGCTTTATGTTGAGAAGAAAGTGGACCAGCAAGGGAGTGAATCTTATCATAGGTCCTGACAGGAGTGTACTAAGAACTCCAGAGATTGCTGAGCTTCTGAGCCCCCTCTTCCAAGCCCAACCTAGTACCAGCACCAAATCCAAACCGACTCGTTACGACACAGACCAGGTCATAAATAACGAATACCTGTGCCACATCCCAATCACAGAGAGAAAATCGTTGGAGAATCTATCTGGGTTACGTCCGGGCAGTTCCCCTGGATGCCACAACCGAAAACTGGTGACCCTAAAAAACTTCGCCGAGTTGTCTGCAAAATCAATCCGCAACCTCTTCAAACATTCACTAGAGTCATGCAAACTCCCAAAAGAATGGAAATGCGCCATCTTGTCACCCATCTTCAAGAGGGGAGACGGAAGAAGCCCTGGTAACTACAGGTCAGTCGCCCTGCTCCCTGCAGCGTCGGAAGTGTTGGAAAACCTGGTAGCTGACACTGTCTGGGAATTCCTCAATAGGGAAAACACTGTGCATGCTGCTCAACATGGATTTTGGAGTGGTCGCTCATGTTCCACCAACTAACCACCTGGGAAGACTGGATACTTAGCTGGGCCAACAGAAAACCGGTACATGTTGTATTTCTCGACCTAGCCAAAACATTTGACAGTATCCTACCCACGGTCCTGCCTCACAAGATCATGCCAGCTTGTGTGAGTGAACCCCTGCTCTCTTGGTTTAAGCAGTATCTGGAGGGGAGGCAGTTCTGCACCAAATTAAACGGAATAAGGCGTGAGTGCAGACCCTCGACGTCAAGAGTATCGCAAAGAGCAATCCTAGGGCCACCTGCCAGACAAGATATCCTCATCCATCCTCCTCCTCACTGACGATATTAAAATTTAGAGGGTGGTAAAAGAAGAAGCTGACTGTACAGCACTACGAAAGGACTTGCAGCAACTCGAACTCTGGTCATCAGGAAATGGCGTGAGCTTCAAGCTGGAAAATTGCGAAGTAATGCACATCAGTGATTACGAAGCAACTAAGACCGACTTCCATCGCATGTTGAGCAACCGTGCTATCGCCGGAGTGTCCACGGAGAAAGATTTGGGGCTCAGCTTCTCCTGCACCTTGAACAGCAGCTCCAACTACAAAGACATGGCAACTAGAGCCATTGCCATTCTGCAACTTCTGCGTAGGCAGCTTGGCACCCTCATCCCGGACGCTTCCTCGCCGTTTTCAAGTCACGTGCGGCCGCATCTGAAGGTCTTCAATACGGTTGCCCCCCAGCACTAAAGAGAGGCCCCAATCTCCTTGAAAAAATACAAAGAACTGCAACAAAATCAGTTGTGGGACTAGCGGGGAAGGCATATTCTGAAGGACTTCAACAACTAAACCTGTTACTTCTGGTCATTGTAGGAAGAGGGTCGGCCTTATTGTAGCCTACAAGGTCGCTCATCAGATAAACCATGCAGACACATCAACCTTGCCTGCGACACAGCGGTTTTAACGAGGAAACCCCATCAAGATAACATAGCAGAGAACTAATATCGCACTCATGTCCATTTTTTTCTGCATGAGAGTATGCGCCTAATGGAATGCCCTACCGCGACACATCATCAAAGCCCCCTCAGCCAGCCCATTCAAGAGACGGTTGGATAGTTATATCATCTTACATGGTCTACCACGGATGTACTCAGGGAGCCATCAACCTCACCAGACCACCCTCACCTCCCTCCCACTTACCACTCACTATCTCTCTCCTTAATATGCCAACATTACCTACCAATTCCTTTCCAGGAGATAGACTTACGCTATCTGTTTTAACCACTCGGGTGATTCCCACGAACTTTTCTCTCTCTTTTATTTCTCTTCTCTATCCCCTCCTTTTTTCTCTTTCTTTTTCTTTTCCCTCATTCTCTTTTTCTTCATTCTTTTCATTTTTTACCACTACCTTACTATTATCTTCCAGGCACCTACACAGACAGGAGTCACGACAGTCTCCTAGTCATTCCAGCAACCCGCAGCTCTCCAACTGCCCAACAAATTAGAACTTACTAACCTGCAAAACATTCACCTCACCGAGGCTAAAAGCAAGGAAGCAGAGGGGATTTCCTCGTCCACTGCAGAATTGAACTAAAAAGCTCAAACCGAGCCCTAAGAACCAGAAAAGAGAGATCAAAACTGTCAGTTTTCTACACTCGCACTATCAATATTGGATACTGAATATTAGATTGGAAAAAGATATTGGATATTGGACATCCGTCACTATGGTGATCATTGTAACTCACGCTTTTGGTCATGTTGGATGATCATGTTAGAAAATTTCTTCTCCACTATGAGGTAACTTTTCATCAAATCAAAGAATTTGTAGGTGGTCGAAGAATTGGGGACAGGATGTCAAGGAGTGTCATATAAGTTAAGAAATCTACACAGTGCTGAATTCTTTGTCCTTAAGATGGTTGGGAACAGTCCTTAAATATTTTTCCATAGATCGAATGTAAAAGTGTAGAGCATGCTTATTTGTTGTTCGATGAATACATATTCCTACAAAATTTTAGTCATCCTTACGTATCGAAAGTTGTCGAGGTTCGTGTTATCATGAACGCCAAAGTAGTTTTGATATCTTGGTTTTATGTTAATGGGTAGATATCAGCGATATACCTTTTAGTTCTTCGACGATTTGTCGATCTTCCAAGTGTCGATTCCATTATTCAGGAAAACATTGGAAGAAATAATATCAAATGGGAGGTAATCATTCAGAGTACTTAATTTTAATTAAGGTGTAAATAGTTAATCTACAAAATCTTGGGAAGCACACTGGATGTCATATCTTTTCTTCTCAAGTTGAATTATGGGTCCATGTAACTTTTGCTTTTTATGATTTTGCTCAAGTTATTTGCACCCTAGAAATATTTTTGTCAACGAAACTTCATTCTGCGTAACTGACGTTTGGGGTCCTAACCTTATGAACTATATTCGTGGAACAGATATTTTTGTTCACTGTATGTTGAAGTCAGAGATAATCAACCATCACTTTATTGGTATTTGGATAGTTTTTACTAAGGCAGAAGATGAAGTGTAGTAAAGTTTTTATTGTGCTTCCTTGAAATTTATAGGAGGATTTTTAATCCTAAAACCATCGTTTGTTTGCAACTAAGGCGTTGATTGTTAGGGTTTGAATCTTCAGTCACGTGATAAAGTAACAGAAGTCTTTTGAATGAACTAATGGGGACTTGTTAATTACTTTTTTGGGAAATTTCAGTTTAACAACTCCGTTTATTTGAGCTGTGCCAAGATGTTTCTTGAGATCTTAACAAAGGGCTTTTGATTTTATTGTGTGTAAATAGGTGAAGTATCCGGGTTTAAATGTTATCCACTCACCGAAGTATTGATCAGAGATTTCATTTACGTGGAAAGAATTTCTCCTAATTCCTGTTTGGTGTCAACCTTGAGTGCATTTCAATGATGTACACATAACTTGTTTGTCATCACTGAATAAAGCATAAGACAGATGTAAACCTTGGCTAGCATAGCGATTGTTGGAAATTCAGAAAGATGTTAGACTAGTATGAAAGACAACTTTGAATTCGCCGAGAAAAAGCGGCATATGCTACACCAGATTGACGTACCGCTGCTCACTGCTTATAAGATATATTTTATACTGGATGATGATTCAGGGCGAGATGAAACTTTGGAACGCAGCTGGACTAAAACCAGCTACCACCAGGTTACCGGCCTGGAGCTTTACCAGCTGATATACCAAATCCGACTGCTGAACAGATTTTTATTTCACTCCAATCGCCAAGGGTTTTGGCCCGACTACCATGTGAATCCATGACGCGTTTCTACTGCTTGGTTGTATTCACGCTGGCATTCTAGTCAGGACTTCTCATGAGAATTTATATCTAACTAAAATTATGTTGAGGAGCATTTTATAGATTATTATTTTACTATCTCAGTTAGCCTTAGTTTGAAAGATTAGTATTTATACGTGGTGATGAATGAAGGTGAAGTGAAAATGTGGATCGAATCCGACCGCGATCCACAGTTTTATTTCACCTCCAGTCATCACCCAGCTGGTGCTACCGGCCGATAGCTCGTAGCTCAGTTAGTAGAACATCAGGCCAGTAACCTTGTGGTCACTGGTTCCAATCCGGCAGCGGTCCAAACCTTCATCCCAATTCAATCATCACACGGCATAAAATACTAGTCTGCCAAACTGCAGCTATCTCAGATAGTGAAATGACAGTCTGTAAGATATAGGCTTGTTTAAGCTATGGATGTAAGATATTGTAGTCTACAAAACAGAAATCAGGTATCATTTCCTGATATTTATAGAAGACATTCAGTTTCCATTCAGTAGTGTTGCATGTTAACAGATGGAGTAATCTCAATAAGTCCGATGGGAAGAATATTTTTGGAAACTGCAAGCAGATTATCGAAGCATGATGATGTAGGTAACAAACGACGTCTACTAAAACTGGATTCTTAACGTGTCATTGCTTTACAGAAAATCAGCAGACAGATCAGATCTGCTGCAATCACTGGTTGCATACAATTAAATTAGCTTCCAGTTATTGTAATGATTATGCACTCTCACATATTAGGTATACTTCATAGCCTAGTATACAAACGGATTCAGTCAGATTAGATTGTTTCAAATGTCACACCAAATTAGATCCCCAGTTGGCTACGAAAAGTGAGAACGAACGTTAGCTTAATTCACAGGACATTAGATAAATACCAAATAAAGTCTGTTTAAATTGAAAGAACCTACTTTCATCACAAAGAAGGTCTCATGAGCTTTCAGAAACCTATGGGTTCCCGTTGTTCTACTAGGGTTGGTAGTGAGTACCTTGATTTACATCTATTCCTTGCCAAAGATACTGCTCATTTAATCAGCGACTAATAAGTTTGATGGTCAAAACATGCCAATGCAGTGAATACACAGGTCACATGTTCATTGTGTATCAGACGCTCAAATAACGCACCTATTTTTCAAGCCAGCGGTAATGTGTCTGCCTATGACGAAGTCTTTAAGTTTTTTGGCAAAACTTCTGTTTGGAATGTTTTTAAATAGGAATTATTTTTTGGAAGCATTATAAAAACAACTTAAGTAGAGTGGAGACACAAAACTATCTGCATGCATAATTCCAAGTCAAAAATGAGATGGAACAGAACTGCTTAATATCACAATTTTTCCCTAGCTTTTCTGTCGTTAACATTCTCAAAACGAGCCTCGACTGCGTATGTGATGGTGATGTTTACCAGAAGAAATAGTCATTAATTTTGAGAAATTGGACTATATTCTGTACCTATGGGAAGTTTTACAGGTCCGTCAACTTACTCATGATTGGGTGACAATTAGTGTTTATAAGTATGTTATGTGCTGCATAATAGCAACGTAGTAAAAACTGTTTTCAGGTTGGCAAGAGCCTGCTAGTAGTGGACAAGGTTTAAAATAGCACAGGGAAGATTAAGGTGGTATATTCTGATTTGTTTTGCCTTTGAAACATGTTTGAAGTGTGGCCACCTAGGATGTAAACTTTTGTGTCGAACTCCACATTAAAGTGAATGCATTTTTACTTCATAAGTGTTAGTCTGACTGAAAGAGTGGTGTCGGAAGTTTAGTCCTACACTGTTCTTCCTAGTTAAGAAGAAACCATCACTTCACTTTTGACCATGGTCGTTTCCATAAAACTGTTGGCACTAAGGAAATTATGAGAACCCAAAGCTTGTGCTTGGATATGATTGGGGACATTCAATAAGAGAAGTTATATCAAAACTGTAGTTTAAGTACGTGTTACTACTGAGAAGTTAGGAACCACCCAGGGTGATCTGTAGATTTCGCCAGTCAGATAAGAGTAACCTAAACACCGTACGGCTACTTGGCTCGTTCGGGGCAAAGGTCATCAGCCTGGTCATCATCAGATCAGGCTAAGATCAGACCAATAGTAGTTGGTTTACTAGTTCATGACAATTTCGTGTCAGAGACCATACCTTGTGATCTTGCTTGAGTGGTTCCCAGCGGAAACCTTGTTGACGTCAGAGTTAGACATTCAAAGACGTACTCAGCTGTGGAAGATGTCAACGTGGACCGTGCGGTTTGTAAATCATTTGCAAATCAGTTACTCTACTGTAGCTTAGATGACCTGGATATTTGTTACCCCTGTCAACACAGTTTTTTCATAAATTACGCTGTTTGATGGTATTTAAACTTGTCAAGAGTAAGGGAGAGTTGAACAGTGTATGATGTGAGATTATGGCGTGGAACCTATTTTTTTTTATGGGATTATACTAACACTTTCTTGGTGTCCCTCAAGAAAGCATATGGGTTAGTGCTCTAGGAGGATTTTGTAGACAGCTGGAAATTAGCTGCAAATATGAATTTTATCATTAAAAAATAACACGAAGCTGATAGAAGGTTATTGTTTGTATTTTGTACGACTGGCTTTATGATTGCTTTATCACTTTAAAACTCTGCATCTTGATTTTCTGTTCAAATAGGTTTGTTGTATCATGTTAAGCAACATGTTTCTTCATATTAATGTTATAATTTGTTTATGTTAAGTATATAAATGATTAAATTATCACCTGTGGAGATGATTCGAAAGCATTAAGTTAAGTATTCAGTGATTAGATATTTGACAGAACTGTTTACTAACTGCTAAACTTGTCATAAACTGATAAGAAAAACTGGGTAAGAAAATCCTGAAACTTGGAAAAACCTTCTATGACAGTGAGATAACATATCTATCCAGCTACAATAATGCAACAAAGCTCATTTTCCACTATAAACTTCTTGCATTCATACAAGAAAATTCAGTTTTTTATTATCCGATGAAGATTATGATTTATCATTACGTCTTTGTTATATCATTATCAGCCTTCGAGCACATTATAAATCCTGAACTCTTGAAGGATATGCCAATAAAGTGTCCACCGGATGAAATTCCTCAAAGGCGTCCACGTAAGTAAGCTAACTTTCCTATACTTTTTGAATTCTTTCTCTATAATTTCTTGAAATAAAAACAGATATATAACTAGTAATTTAGTGTATATTTCAGTGAACAAGCACGTTACTATTAGTGATTCATATGTAAGTAGTGTTATCAAATATGTATATAATACCCTAATCGGTCTCAACCATCTAGTCCATGATTTCAAATATCGTCTGTACGTGATTACAACTCTAAGGGCTGATTATGTTTTGATTAATTAAAACAATCTACATCTTTAGTGCCACCACCTGCACTTCGTCCAGAAATACCACCTGCAGCCGCTGAATTACAAGTGAACATAAATCCCCCAACGAAAATGGAAGTCCTGAACGCCATAAAGCTACTGAAATGCGGGAAAGCAGCAGGACCAGATGGAATACCGCCAGAAGCACTGAGAACAGATGCAGAGACAACAGCGGACATGCTCACACCACTATTGCAGAAGGTGTGGAGGGGAAGAGAAGGTACCTGACGATTGGAAGAAGGGTTACCTTGTCAAACTGCCGAAGAAGGGAGACCTCAGTGCTTGCAAGAACTGGCACGGAATCACTCTCCTGTCCACCCCAAGTAAAATATTAAGCCGCATCATCCTGGAGAGGCTTAAAGACGCACTGGATTCAAAACTGCGACCGGAACAGGCAGGCTTCAGGAAGTACAAATCATGTGCAGACCAAATTGCAACGCTTCGTATCATCATAGAACAGAGCGTAGAATGGCAATCAGCTCTCTACCTCAACTTCATCGACTTTGAGAAGGCCTTTGACAGCGTCGACCGAGAAGTAATTTGGAAACTGCTTCAATACTACGGAGTACCGCAAACCTTTATCCGCCTCATTCAACAACTATATGAAGATGCCACATGCCAAGTAATCCACAATGGGAAGCTCAGTGATGATTTTGAAGTGAAGACAGGAGTAAGACAAGGTTGCCTACTATCCCCCATGATATTCCTGATTGTGGTGGACTGGATCATGCAGCAAACAGTGGGGAGCGAGAAGAGGGGGATACAATAGCTGGACTGCGGAAAAGAACCTAGAAGACTTGGATTTCGCCGATGACTTGTGCCTGATGTCACACAAACTTGAAGATCTGCAGGCAAAAACTAACAAGTTGACAGAAGAGGCAGCCAAGACGGGACTTCAGGTGAATATAGAGAAGACAGAAGTGATGAAGATACCGCACCACCACCATCAACAACAACAACAAACTCCAATCACCGTCAACGGGAGAAACTTGAAGGAAGTAACCTCCTTCACTTATCTAGGAAGCACTGTTTCAACTACAGGCGGGACGGACGAGGACGTCAAAGTCAGAATCGGAAAAGCAAGACAGGCGTTCATTAGCCTGAAACCAGTGTGGAGATCTTCTGCACTCAGCACAAAGTGTGAACAAGATACGGATTTTCAACACCAACGTCAAGTCAGTGCTCTTGTATGGCTCAGAGACTTGGCGCGTCACGAAAGGCATTTCCAATAAACTACAGACATTCATCAACAACTGCTTACGCTCGCTGCTGAAGATCAGATGGCCAGAAAAAATAAGCAACAAGGAACTCTGGGAACGAACCAACCAAGAACCTATCACGCAACAAATATGCACTGGGAGGAAGTGGAGATGGATTGGGCATGCACTGAGAAGGCCGACCGAGGACATCACGCGTCAGGCCAGTTGCTCGAGTGGAATCCCCATGGGAAGCGACGAGTTGGGTGTCGGAGGTGAGGGTGACATGGAGGAGGTCGTGCGAGGAGGAAATGAGATCTTCTGGGCTGTCGTGGGACCAGGTTGAAAAGATCTCAGAGAACAGAGTGTACTGGAGACGTGCTACTGAAGCCCTATGTTCCACTAGGAACCCAAGGGACTAATAATAATAATAATAATAACAATAAATCTTTAGTGTAATATTCAATTGTGAATTTCATGTTATTGTATTTAACTAGCTTAATTTCATTTAATGTTTCAAGTTGCTGACCATTTGCTTTTAGAAAATTTTTGCCTATCTGCTACATTTTATACTACAGGTCATTATATATCCATATTCTGTTAAGAATATGATTTTTGTTACAATGGTTAATAAAATATTCCTTTTAGTAGTCAAATGGACGTAAGATTTTTGTTTGGTTATGCAGTTTGACAGTACTATTGCTGAACAACAAAAAAGATTTTCTTTGGATGTTTTCGTTTCAGTTAGTTATTCAGGATCACAGTGAGACTTGGTATTACTGCCTAACTGTCCAAATTACCACATCCCTCACGATCAAGTCAAGGTGAAAGGCACTAAGCATAAAGATGTAAAAATGAGCAAGGAAATAGTTATTATTATATTATTATTATTAGTCCCTTGGGTTCCTAGTGGAACATAGGGCTTCACTAGCACGCCTCCAGTGACCTCTGTTCTCTGAGATCTTTTGAACCTGGTTCCACGACAGCCCAGAAGCTCTCATTTCCTCCTCGCATGACCTCCTCCATGTCACCCTCACCTCCGACACCCAACTCGTCGCTTCCCATGGGGATTCCACTCGAGCAACTGGCCTGACGCGTGATGTCCTCGGTCGGCCTTCTCAGTGCATGCCCAATCCATCTCCACTTCCTCCCAGTGCATATTTGTTGCGTGATAGGTTCTTGGTTGGTTCGTTCCCAGAGTTCCTTGTTGCTTATTTTTTCTGGCCATCTGATCTTCAGCAGCGAGCGTAAGCAGTTGTTGATGAATGTCTGTAGTTTATTGGAAATGCCTTTCGTGACGCGCCAAGTCTCTGAGCCATACAAGAGCACTGACTTGACGTTGGTGTTGAAAATCCGTATCTTGTTCACACTTTGTGCTGAGTGCAGAAGATCTCCACACTGGTTTCAGGCTAATGAACGCCTGTCTTGCTTTTCCGATTCTGACTTTGACGTCCTCGTCCGTCCCGCCTGTAGTTGAAACAGTGCTTCCTAGATAAGTGAAGGAGGTTACTTCCTTCAAGTTTCTCCCGTTGACGGTGATTGGAGTTTGTTGTTGTTGTTGATGGTGGTGGTGCGGTATCTTCATCACTTCTGTCTTCTCTATATTCACCTGAAGTCCCGTCTTGGCTGCCTCTTCTGTCAACTTGTTAGTTTTTGCCTGCAGATCTTCAAGTTTGTGTGACATCAGGCACAAGTCATCGGCGAAATCCAAGTCTTCTAGGTTCTTTTCCGCAGTCCAGCTATTGTATCCCCCTCTTCTCGCTCCCCACTGTTTGCTGCATGATCCAGTCCACCACAATCAGGAATATCATGGGGGATAGTAGGCAACCTTGTCTTACTCCTGTCTTCACTTCAAAATCATCACTGAGCTTCCCATTGTGGATTACTTGGCATGTGGCATCTTCATATAGTTGTTGAATGAGGCGGATAAAGGTTTGCGGTACTCCGTAGTATTGAAGCAGTTTCCAAATTACTTCTCGGTCGACGCTGTCAAAGGCCTTCTCAAAGTCGATGAAGTTGAGGTAGAGAGCTGATTGCCATTCTACGCTCTGTTCTATGATGATACGAAGCGTTGCAATTTGGTCTGCACATGATTTGTACTTCCTGAAGCCTGCCTGTTCCGGTCGCAGTTTTGAATCCAGTGCGTCTTTAAGCCTCTCCAGGATGATGCGGCTTAATATTTTACTTGGGGTGGACAGGAGAGTGATTCCGTGCCAGTTCTTGCAAGCACTGAGGTCTCCCTTCTTCGGCAGTTTGACAAGGTAACCCTTCTTCCAATCGTCAGGTACCTTCTCTTCCTTCCACACCTTCTGCAATAGTGGTGTGAGCATGTCCGCTGTTGTCTCTGCATCTGTTCTCAGTGCTTCTGGCGGTATTCCATCTGGTCCTGCTGCTTTCCCGCATTTCAGTAGCTTTATGGCGTTCAGGACTTCCATTTTCGTTGGGGGATTTATGTTCACTTGTAATTCAGCGGCTGCAGGTGGTATTTCTGGACGAAGTGCAGGTGGTGGTCGATTCAAGAGCTTCTTGAAGTGGTCGGCCCATTGTTTCCTCTGTTTCTCTTCTTTTGTAATTAAATTTCCTTCTTCATCTTTTATTGGTTTCATCTGTGTTGGTCTCTTCCCTGATAGCAACCTGGTTATTTGATACAATGTCGTCAGGTCTCTCTTACCTGCAGCCTGTTCTGCTTCACTTGCCAGTGTTTCGTAGAAGTGTCTTTTGTCTTTGCGTGCACTCTTCTTCACTTCTTTGTCCAGTGTTTTATACATTGTGCTCAGTTCCTCTTGTCGTTGAGCATCCTTGCACTGGTTTATCTTCTGCTTCACCATCCTCCTCTCCTCTATCAGCTTCCAGGTATCCGTCGAGATCCATTCCTTGTCTTCTTTCTTCTTCCTTCCTAATACTGTTGTGCAGGTTTCTTTCCACATAGCTTTCAAAGACTTCCAGTGTTCTTCCACACAGGTTTCTTCAGGGATGTTGCTCGATGTCTCCCATTTTGTCTTGATGGCTGCCTTGAAGATCTCCTTTGTAGTTTCATCCTTCAGTTTCCGAGTGTTGTACTTGAATTGAGGTCTATCACCAGCTTCCTTGAAGGCTTTTAACTTGATTTGGAAGGTTCCTTGCACTAGACAGTGAGTGGTGTGAACCTACATCTGCTCCTCTTCTTGACCTTGTGTTAAGTAGACTGCGTCTCCATTTTCTTGAGATTGAGATAAAGTCGATTTGATTATTAGTGTGTCCATCTGGTGAAATCCATGTCGCTTTGTGGATATCTTTGTGCCTGAACACACTGCCTCCAATCACCAAATCGTTGAATGCACAGAATTCTGCAAACAATTCTCCATTCTCATTCATCACTCACCTAGCGCTTCTCGACCCATGGTTAGTTCTCTTCCTGTGTTGTCCCCTCCCAGTTTGGCATTCATGTCGCCCATCAGAATTTTGATATCACCAACTGACGTCTTGTCCAGTGTTGATTGAAGTTGTCTGTAGAAATCCTCCTTTTTCTCTTGCTCTGCATTATTTGTAG